TTCATCTACAAATACCTCAATTGATGCAGACTCATTTATTTTATTTACATGGAATAATGAATGTCGTATGAGCATTTGTGAATTAATAAACTTGAAATAAGAAGTACTAATATAAATAAAGCAAAATTGGACAAATAAGCCATGCCAAATTTTTGGTAGATATGCTTATGAAAATGCACTAAAGATTTTTTTTCCTTTTATGTGCTTATATACTTTTGTAAATGCGTGAAAGACATAGTTTTGTGAATATATCTTCTTTGCATCAATCTTTCATAGTTTTCCTTGCTGGCACATCAATGATTATTTGCAAGAGTAATTTAGTCAAAAGGTCCATCTTATGCATCAAGTGCAAAATCTAAGAAGAGAACAAAATTTATATGGAGTCTAAAACTCAAATGAATATCTCGAGTATTGCAGATAATGTGTGAGTATGTCGATGCTAACATGAGAAGTGCGAAAGGCTTCAAAGATGTTGTATATGAGGGTGCTGCTAAAAAATTAAAAGTGAAATTTGGCATTGAGGTCACAACTAAGGAATTCAACTAAACGACCTTTAAGTATTCATAATGTATTGATTTTACTTTATTCTATATACAATCAACTAAACAGAAAAAACAATTTGCCGGTATTCACTTTGCTGATGACCAAATAGCTTCAAAGCATTCACTTTATAATGTATTTATTTTACACTGCATTCACTTTACAATAAACCAAACAATCTTTAAGCCATTCTTAAACCCATCACCCCATGGCACAAGATATCGGGGAAACTTCTTTTTATATTTGTTTATATTAATATTAATTGAAATAGTTAAGATATAATAAATTAAATTAAATATACCAATAAATAACTAGTTAGTAATTTATTCTCTTAATTAAAGAATAACTTCTATTTATAGATCGCATGAACAGGATTAGCACGAAATGTTAGATTTAGCTGGGCTCTGCTAAGGTTTTGTTTTCCTCCTTTCCGCCAAGGCGGCCTCCGTCTTCGGGAGAGGTTTTTCCCTCTACTTTCCGCCGGATGGATCTTAATCCGATGGATTTTCCCCCTCTTCATGGCTCGTCCATCCTTGGACCGGCTCCTCCCCCCAACACGGGCGTCTCTTATGCCGACACTACTACTGACAACCTGATTCTGTCCCTATGGATTTCATTCCCCCTCTTTCAAATATCTCTTTCGTTGCTGGGGATCTCTTCGACGACATTTCTCTCTGGACTCTTTCACTAGTTAGGTACTTCATAGGCCAAAGACATTACTACGAACGCCTACTTCCTGCTATGAAAAAGGTTTGGCCTTTGAAAGGTGAGATCACTCACTCTCATTTCTCTCGCGGATGGATTTTTCCTCATTAAGATCTCTGCTTAAGAAGATTATGACGCGATTTAGAGCGGGGGGCCCTGGTTTCTATTTGGGAAGCCATTCATTTTGCAGAAGTGGTCTCCCAAGTTTAAATCTAAGAGGGATGAGGATGCCTCTATCCCGATCTGGATAAAAATTGTTGACCTCATGCTTGCATTATGGATGCCCCATGGCATTTCCAAGATCGCAAGCTGCATTGGTATTCCCTTGTCTGTGGATTCCCTAACTGCAAAACACTGCCGATTAACATTTTCTCGTGTGTGTGTGTGTGTAAAATTCCAAATAATATGTTCTACCCAATGAGATCCCTTTGGAAATTGAGGGAGAGGATTTATCTCTTAAAGTCATCTATAACTGGAAGCCCTTACGCTGCGAAGGTTATCGTTATCTTATTCACCCGTTTTCTCTTTTGCCCCTCTAATCCTAATCCCAAAATCGCTGCTTCTCTTCCTCCTCTCCCCCAAGGTCGTAGCTCCAGGAGACATATCCGTCCTCTTCGTAGGATAGATAACTCCAAACACCCTGCCAAGGCCTTAGACCTTGCTCCTTCCCCAAACTCTAGTCCTCTATGCCTCATTGTGGTCTATACTACCACTCCCACCCCTTCACTTCCTCCACCTGAAAAGACCATTGCGGCCTCTACTACCTCTCCCGCTCCCTCCCTTCCTCTGCCTAAAAAGGCTCCGCTTCTCCCCAATTTAAACTCTACCAATGAGGAATCCTCTTCCTCAGACTTACCTTCTTCCTCCTCTTTTTATTCCCCCCGAGAAAATTTCTTCTCCCAAATCCACCAAACCTTCACCTTCTAATCTCTAGATATCAAATATATTCAATGCTCTTGAACTGGATAACCCGATAGACGACCCTCCTTCCACCCTCCCAGATGTCGCTGACCAGTCACCTCCTATTATTGACATTAACCCCAATGTTAATGTCCCTTCCTCCTCTACAAATTCAAACCCCACAAAAGCTCAATCTTCTCCCCTCTCCAAGCATACTAGAGGGAAGTTGGCCAAGAAGGCCAAATCCTCCAAATCCTAATGCCCCTCCCCTCCCTTTCCTTTTTGAATATAAGGGGGTTTAATAGACCCGACAAGGTGGGTGTCTGCAAAGACCTTGTCAGAGTCCACGACATTAAGTTGTTATGTCTTTTAGAAGCTAAAATTCAGTCCACGACTGTTGGAGATGATTGGTTTCTTAATTCTCATCGTATTTTTGAGGATGAGCAACATTTTCACAATTTTGACTCCTCCAATCCTAGTAGAATTTGGATAAAATGGGATCCTTCTCATAGCTATTTTCCTCCCTCTTTCTCCTCTTCCCAACTTATTCGTGGGATTATTTCGGTGGGCTCTTTCCCTCCGTTTCATATGTTTGTTATTTATGCTGCTAACTCCTCTGATGAGAGGAAAGTTCTCTAGGACAATTTGAGAGATTTGACTCCTTCCCCGCTCCTTTGGATGGTTATGGGAGACCTCAATTGCTTCAGGTTTGATAATGAAAAAACTAGCGGTGTCCCTATTCCGGTTGGTAGACTGAATGAGCTCAACAACATTATTTTTTATTATGATTTGCAAGATCTTGCTTCGGTTGGGCTATTCTTTACTTGGTTCAATCAGCAGTTTGATCAGCCTATTCACATTAAGCTAGGTTGGGTTATGATGAATTCTTATTTCCTGGATTTCTATCATGCTGCACATTATAAGGTCCTCCCCCTCTTTGCTCGGACCACTCCACCTCCTCTACCAGCCTTCCCAACAAATTCCTTTTTAAAAATTATTAGACCCACATGGATAGTTTTTGGGATGAAGTGATTTCTATTTTTTCCCAACCAGTTAGCAGTAGACCGATCTCCTTTTTCAACATTGCCTGATTAATCTTAAAAGATCTCTTAAAAGGAAACCTTGGGCTTCCTCCAATTTCCTTTATAGCTCTATTTTTGTGCTAAAGTGCAAGCAACAGAGGTGCCTGGAGTGGTTACAAAACTCGCCTTTGAATATTCAACTTAATGCCCATCTTAAAGAGATAAATTTGCAACTATCCAGGCTTCAATCTTCTTGGACTTCTTGGATATCTCAAAAAGCCAAAGCCAAATGGCTTTCTCAAGGGGAAGATGACCTTGATTTTTTGTATGCTAAAATCCAGGTCAGGAGAAATAGGAATAATTTTTATGAGATCTCTGATTCTAATGGTACTCTCACTTCACATCATGACATTGCTAATGCTTTTATTCAACATTTTAAAGAGCTTTACAACTCGCCAAAACCTATTAATGCTGTGAATTTCTCCATTCCCACCGGCAACTATGTGCCTCCCAATATGGTTGACTCTTTGGTTGAGCCTTTCTCTTAATTATAACGTGATTAAAGCAGCTGTTTTTGATGGGCATGATTCCTCCACTCCAGGTCCCGATGGTTTCTCATTTGCATTTTATAAAAGAGCTTGGCATATTATTGGCCCTCATGTGTGTAGGCGATTATGGGTTTTTACAATTCTGGTGTTCTTCCTAAAGGAGTCAAGGCTTCGGTTATTACTCTTATTCCAAAAAGTACCCATGTCTCTAATATCTCAGATTATATGCCCATTTCTCTGTGCAACATTTTATACAAAATTATGACGAAGTTGTTAGCTAATCGTCTGAAGCTCATCTTACCTCTCATCATACATGAAAGCCAGGCCGAGTTCATTCAAAAGCGGTGCTCTACTAATAATATCCTCCTTGTCTCTGAACTCCTAAAAGGTTTTAATTCTTCCATAAATTGTTTTTGTGCCAAATTGGATATTATGAAGGCCTTCGACTCTGTTTCTCATGATTTTCTGCTTCAAAGAATAAGATAAAAGGGTTTCCTGGAGAAATTTATCAAAAGGGTGAAAGGTTGCATCAACAAAGTTCACTTTTCTATTTGTATTTATGGATCACTTAATGGCTTTTTTAGCTCCTTGGAGGTTTTGTTGGGCAATGATGTTCGTATTGCTCTTTCTCCCCCTTGGATGGCAATGGACTGCGGCTGAATGGTTCGATGGTTTTGTGATTCTCCTTTGCAACCAAGGGTCGATGTGCGTTGTGGCAATACTCTGAGCTCTATTTTTTGGTCCCCCATTGCACTTTTGCTTGCTTGGGGTGACTAGTTTTTGCTCTTATGTCTTTTGGTTTCTCTTTTGTTTTTGATATATATGTTTTTCTTTTCTTACATGTAACTAATTTCATTAATGAAATTAGAGCTATTGCCCTCAAAATTTCAGAAAAAAAAGGGCAGGACTAGCAGCGTGTGAAGAAGAAAAAGAGTGTTCGAGATTTGTGGCTTATTGTTGAATCTATGTCAGGATTTTTTTAAATTTAGAACTTATGACAAAATGCAGGAGAACCGAGATTTAAGATTTTGTATGTTTGAAAGTTGTCATTTTGGTTGTTTTTAATAATAAATTTTAAGTTATATTAATTAAAATAATTATATTAATATTTAATTACTAATTATATCATTAATTATTCAATTAAATTACATTAGATAATTAATGTATGCACTAATTATACTATTAATTATTTAATTAATTTATTTAAATTATATTAATTAAGTTAATCAATAATAACTTAGAGGTATCTAGGGTTGCCTTTCATCTTTTATTTTAGTCGTTGTCGTTCGGCTTCGTTGCTTCGCTCGGCTCCGGGATTTACCCATCGCCGGGATTTAACGCGCGCACAAAAACCGTTTTGCTGGATTTAGCGTAAATCCGACTTAAATCCCGCTGTAAATCCGATACCGAACAGCCCATAAGTATTTCTTCTCCCTCTTCTGCTGTAGTTACTTGCAGATACCTTCGCTGCCTTTGAACCGCAGATTGTTTCCTGGAATTTGGTTAGTGTTTTCATAGTTCATAACACTATTCCCTCTCTGAGAAAGATGAGGAAGATTGTGGACAGCCGAATTCGAACCCTCATAGAGAATGGCGTAAAGCTACGTCACCGTTCGATGTTCGTCATTATTGGAGACAAGTATCGTAATCAGGTACTGCTTTCTTTCTTCCCTTCCTAAAATTTGTTAGAATACTTGGAAGCAATAGTGAAGTTTCGCAACTAGAGTTTTACTTGTTTGCTTACGGCAAGAATCTTAATTTATGGATTCTGATTCTTTTGTGTTTCCTCCGAGTTTTAAATGCTAAAAGTAATATTTTTAGTTTATTTCATTTCCGATACAAAGTTTGTATGGCGCTGATGACATCATATTCTTTGTGCAGATTGTGAATCTTCACTACATGATGAGCAAGGCAGTCGTAAAATCCCGGCCAACTGTCTTATGGTGCTACAAACAGAAGCTAGAGCTTAGCAGGTGTCTTTTTTTATCATAATTTTTCTAAAAATTTATCCTTTTTTTAAATAAAAGCTATTTTTCCATATTTAAACCCTTTGAAGCATACTACGTGCTGCAAAAGCAAAAGAGTGCAATGCTCATCCTAGGTTTGGGCCAAGTTAATCAAATCATAACACTAATTTGAATCAGGTTTAGTCAAGCCACTAAACTCTTGATCCAACTTGCTGATTAACTCTAAGTAGTCCAAGGTGGCATTCATTTAAAATAGCCTAAATCAATTCATTGTAAAGTTGAAGTTACCTAAAGAAATGGTATGCCTGTTGATGAACATAGTAGTTGAAGTCGTCAAGGCTGCTCGCCCATCTTCATGAACTCACCATTGATATTGCCAATGAATCTTGCCATGGAACTTACCAGAGAATTCACCAAAGGAAGCTCATATGTTAATGATCTCATCCTCAACATTGAGGATCTACAAGATTTACTAGTATATTTTGTTAATAAATATTATGATTTTCAACTATCATTGTGAAGCATTCATATGTAAATTTACTAGTTTTACTAAAATATAATTTTTAATTGTGTTGAATATTGTTATAAATATATAAATATGGTGTCAATAGATGAGCTTGAGACATTTAATATGGTTTAATCACATTTCGATACATCTAATTGACTATGTGATGTAGAACTGTATGCGTAGGTTGAAGATTAATTATGAAATTACACGCTTGATGAAGAGTAAGAATAATTATTCAACTTTTAACGATTTAAACGAAAGATTGAAAATAATAAAGAGATTATTAGCTTAGGCAATTGATTATACGATAATTGTTAGGAGCACAAAATAATCAATTCAAATCAAGCTTTGCATCACGTGGGGGTTTTCGAAAGAAATCCCTAGATTAATATTTAGACTAGTCACTATTAAGATCCCTTGCTCACACTCTTAATAATTGATTTGGCGAAGAAAGTTTGCATAATCTTCATGATGCCACAATTGAAGAAGACTTAGAATAAATAATATTTGGGAGAGAGTTCACCTCCATCATGATTCATAAGAGAGTTGTCACTGAACGGGAGGTTGCCATTGATCAATAGCAGTTGCAAGGGAGAAGATGATTTGTTCCACGTACTCTTTGACGGAGTGTTTGTTTTTAAGATCTATGTCGAAGAACAAAGATCAGTGAATGTCAATTAATCCTTGATCGTCAGATACGAAGCCGTGATCAAGCTTCAGATCGGCCATTCATGAGTGGACAACAAACTATGGTGTGTTGGAGCTTCTGGACAGCAAAGGGAGATCTTCCGAATAGCAGGACAACAGGACGGCCTTGCTGAAATTTTTGGACAGCAAGTTGGATGGTTATGGGATGCGGGATAACAACCTTTGTGAGGTGGAAATCCTATAGTAATCGATGTTCAGGAGGAGGGAGTTAGAAATATTAATTCAAAGTAGAGGGGTGTGGGTAGTGGCCGACCATAGAGGAGGGAATGAGAGAATTTGATTTTAGAAATTTGGTTGTTGATTAAAGGAGGGAAATCAATCCGGAATTATGGAATATAATTTCTGCTTTAAATGGAGGTGATTGGGAAATTTGAATTTGAATTTCCCCAAAATTTAAGGAAGGAAGTGAATGGGGGGGGGGCACTTAGGTGAGGAATTTGATGGTTTGATTGGGGAGCTTTAATGAGGCTAATAATTAAATGAGGGAGGGAGAGAGAGGGGGCGGCCAAAACAGGGGAAGGGGAGGGGTCCGCACATGATTTAATGTAGATTTGAGGGATTAATTGTTTTGGAATTGAGTTGCCATCTAAGCAGAATAAATTATGAAAGATATTTAAATCAAATATCTCTCTAAATTTATTGATCAAATTCAATAGGTTTGATTGGGGAATTTCCAAAGACAACTCATCTTAAATTAAGAAGGAATTTCAAATTTGAATAAGGAACTTTCCAATTAACCTGGGATAAATTTGGCAAGTAGTGAATGCTAGTTTGAATTTGGAATCAGGGGAAGGAGGAGGATGGCAGTGGTTTATGGGGGGAGTTGGGGCCGGTTGGTTTGGTGGGGACGCTTGGTTTGTGGTGTGGAATTTTGGCCAAGGGAGGAAGAGGTGACGGCTAGGGTTTGGGGATGGGAGGAGGGATGGCTAAGGTCTAGGCAGGTGGTGGCCGGCGGCTTGGAGGGGGGGTGGGTGGGGGGGGAGGGGGGATGGGGAAGGAGGCGGCTAGGCGAAATAAGGAGGAGACGATGGTGGAGGAGATGGACCACGAGCCCGGACGTGTCCTGCAGCTGATGGGTAGTACATTGGTCTCACCTATGGACTTCAAACTCTCACAAAAGCTCTCTCAACTCTCCAAGATAGAAGTGTAGGAAATTTTCATAATAATATTCATCATCCCCTCCAAAGAAGAGGAGGTGGCTATAAATAGCCAAAATGCAATAGAAAATCCAAAGACAAAAGTTCCCCATGGGGTCACATGAACCTACTCCCTCAAGTGAGGGTAAAATCGGAAAAGATACAATAATAAATCAAATACAAATAATAGCTCATAAATAAAGTGGTATAATCATGGCCGTAGATCTCCGGCCTCTTCTCTGGTAAACTCTTCACTGTTGGATGTCCTCATCACTATGGCTACCTCAATTTGTACTTTCTTACAACAATCTAATACAAATTCAATGCTCATCTTTCTCTTTCCTATCTCTTTATTAGGTTTGTTACATACTTATTAGTAAGATTATGATATTGCCTACTAACATATTTATAGCTAACATCATTTTTAAGTGTGGTGAGTTGCCTTAAACAAGAAGCTAAGCCATGTAGCTGCTTGATGAAAGAGAAAGATCTCTATAAAATGTGCAACAAGATTTTGCCACTTCCGAACAAATTGATCAAATCAAAGATCATTTAATAAAGACAATCAAAGGAATTCAAAATGGTTACAAGAAGACATAACTCTTATTTATCCACTCCAACAACATAACTGGACTAATTCTCCACATCATCAACAAGACAACAATATTATAGTTACCGCATTGCTCAATAACTTCCATTAAAAGCATGTCATCTCTTCAAGGAGAAAGTGCAATAGATATTATCATCCTGTTATCTAAGAAACTATTTACTCGACCATCCAATGTCGTTTCAGTTGCATCCCAAAAGCTTAACCTCCACCAAAGTTTAAAATGCCAACTCTCGAAGCTTATTTTGAAAATATGGACCTACCTTATTTGAACCAATAATTTCTCTTCTTGTGGTTAGCGTCTCAATGCTGAATAAATTCCTCACAACATTCAAAGAATCACCTATGCTGTGGTTCTTAAGACTTCGTGGAAGCATAATAGCTTTTTTATAATTTAATTGACTTTTTTATTATGCAATTTGCTAGCGTTCAAGGACCATTAAAAATTTTAGAAGCTTTCTTGAACATGAGGTATGAACTTGATGAATCTGTTTGATGCTTTATTATTTATTTCTAGCGGGAGATGTTGAATTTCAAGTATATTGAGCTTGTGATCACCCAAGTTGTATTCACTTATGACAGTCGAGAAGGTCTTTTTAGGTATGCACTTGGCTTATAACAGTTGAAGAAATTAGTTGAATTATTGGGACTTGTTAAAAGTTATATTAATGCATAAAGATATAACAATTTTGAAACTTTTCTTTAGATACGACAACTTCATAATTGAGCAAACATGCATCATTGCAACTTTAACTCTATTGAGATAAGAACTCTCTTAAATGACTTACGTCGACAGTAATAACATAATCAACGACAAAATAAATATACAAGCTCATTAAATTATTGTTTTTCTCAACCAATTTCTTTTGATCATTCACAGACATGTGTAAGTTTCTTGACGACATTCTTAACAAATGCTTGTACCAAAAATTGGAGAGGATAGGTAGTCTAAGATTAAAGGAACACAAATTTAGCTTATTTTTTGGCACAAGAAGATATATGTTGGCATCCTTATTCTTTGTCATAAGAGGATCTATGTTGGCATCCAATACAACTCGATCATTCTTTGCCCATCAAATGATGACTTGCGTCTCTCATCTTTGAATTCTCCTAGAGGATGTAAAAATGATTTGGCTTTTCCCTTGTTATATCTACTTGACTTAGATGCTGACTTCTCCTTAGCAAGACCTTTTGAAATTAATGGAGCCTAAGCTATTGGAGTTGTACTATGTCCTAGCCTCCTAGGATTGGAATATCAGCTTAAGAACTCAGCCTTACTACACCTTTTCTTATATCTCTTAGGACTCTTCATCACTCATGAAAGTTTGGTGTTTTTGTGATGTAGGCAGGGGGGGGGGGGTCAAAACAAGATGAGAATTTGTTTTGACCATTGGGCTTCTGGTGTTCTCGGGTAAGCCTTGGTTGCTTGGTATTGAGCTCAAAATGCTGGAATTTTAATTAGTTCTAGCTTATAAATGTTTGAGCTAAAGTTTAGCTCAATGATTGGGGGATTTATTGTACTTCCTAGCTCATTAATTTTGAGCTCTTGGTTAGCTCATAATGAACTGAAGTTTAGCTCATTTATGTAAGTTTAGTGGAAGCTCATTATGGTGGATTTTGGCCCTTTGGTTCCCGTGGATGGTTGCTGGTTTTCCCGTGCTTGGCCCTTTGGTTCCCATGGATGGCTGTTGGGTTTCCTGTGCCTTGCACCTTTGGTTTATGCAGCTGACTGCTTGGTTCCTGCGGCTGGCTGCTTGGTTCCGTGGATTTTCTGCTTCGTTCCCGTGGCTGCTGTTTGGTTTCCACGGCTGCTGCTTGGTTTCCACGGCTGCTGCTTGGTTTTCACAGCTGCTGCTTGGTTCTCGTGGCTTTTCTTCTCTATTTTGCTATACCGTTTGGGGTATGATGTATTTGATTGTTGTCCTTTCATTTCCCTTAATCTAATAGGTTTATTTAATGCTGTTTGGAGGCTGTTTTTTGGGGTGGGGAATTCCATGAGTTCTTCCCTGTTTTCTGTGCAGAATTTTGGGGGGCTGTCTGCAGAATTTTGGGGGCTGTGTGCAGAATTTTGGGAGCTATTTTTGGACAGAATTTGGATAGCCTTTTGCCCTTCCTCTTCCCCTTAGTTAATTAGTTTTAAATGAAGTTTTAGGTGGTTGTTTGGCTCCCCTTTTGTACCTATATATAGGAGATGTTTTGAGACTTAAAGAGAGTTGTGATGATGATGATTTTTGGGACAAAAACCTGAGAGGTTTTTTCTTCTTTGGAAAGCTTGAGAGCTTTGTCCAACTTCTCTTCTTCTACCTTCTAGGAAAGCTTGCGAGCTTCTCCTTCTTTTCGTCTTGGTTTCTTACCTCCTTCTCTACGCAAGAATCCGCCCCACTTGTATCCTTCTTCTCAATCCAAGAAAGCAAGTTTAGGAAAGTCGTCGTGTTTTTATTTTGTCGTTTGTATGTCGTCAAAAGTTTGTAAGTCTTTTATATTATAAAGTGAAGTTATTTGTGGTTTATTTTTGTTTTTTTGTGACTTTTAGTATTTTGTATCTTTTTTCTAGTAATTTGTGTATCTTCTAATTTATAGGAAGATATTATTTTGTTAGCAAAAATTTGGGTCCCTCTCCCAAATTTTTGCTTGCATCATTTTGTGGTGGAGGCAATTTGGCATCTTCATCTTCTAACTTGTTCAAAGAATTAAATAACTCTGCATCATCTTTCTTGCCCTAGTCTATTTAAAGTGGCCACTCGCCTAAAATGTTATAAACTAAAAAATAAAATGTAAAATAAAGTCAAATCAAGTCAAATAAAATATTTATTTAACAAATATAATTAAAAGCTAAAACTTTGAAAGACAAGCTTATGTGGTAATTTGTTCTCCTTAGTTTGACTGAGAAGAATATAGCCTGATAGATTTCTCTGAGATATAGTGCATGCAGTTAAGTTCTCCGTCCCTCATGATCATGAACAAAGTTTCCATTTTCTTTGATAAGCGGGAAACACAACTTTCTTTGTGGAATGATATTTGGCCTAGTCTTCATTGGTCATCCGATGGTTGTTTTCACTAAAAATACTTTTTCCAATTCTTTATTTTTTAAACCACCTATTTTAATGTATTCTAAAGACAAAAGTTCGATACCTTGCTTGTAATCCCTTATTGTGAACGTGAATCAAAACAAGTTCAAACTTGTTGAAATGCTTATTTATTTTGTACATAATCTATTTTTTTATGCTTGTTGAAATGCTTATTTATTTAAACGAGAATTTGACTGTTAATAGGACACAATGGAGAAAAAGGACTCATGTAGCCGACCCCACGTAGTGGGATAAAGGCTTGATGTTGTTGTTGTTGTATTCAATTAAAATCTCATTTTTAAGCTTAATAAGCTGCTCATGAATAAGCTTGGTAAAACTTGTGTAGTTAGCTAACATGCTGATCAATAATGTTGGCCGTTAATAAGCTTGATATGGCTTGGTTGGTTAGCTAACAAGTTGAGCTTAAACAATCATAATTTTAGACAAATGGAGCTTGCAGACTATTGCTAATGCTCGAATCAAGCTCGTGCTCGATTCAAATAGGGATTTAGCAAATGAGCTCAAGCTCTAACAAGCTTCTACTTAACTAAGCTTGGTTCATTTGCACAGTATTTGAAATTGCGTAATCAGGTATTGAGGCGTTTTCTTTCAAAATGGTGAGGTACAAGCCTCAAAGCATTTTGAGGCATTAGTCTCAAAATTAAATCATTAAATTGATGAAAAATATGAAATAATAAATAACATACTAACATTAAGGTAAAATCATAAAAGTTAAAGTTAGCCATTAGAAGTCATACAAGGCTATATAACTAACAATAAATAAATCGTTTAAACGCCAATTTTTTATTCTTAAGCCTCTTGGAAATTTCATAAAAGTTGTTGCGAGGTGTGCTTTGAGGCGTGCCTCTCCCCAACTTAGGTGTAAACCTTATATGACAAGTGTGAGATGTACTCTTCATTGCCTTTAAAAAAAAAACCTTGAAATGAGCCTTGAGGTAGGCCTCTAATTACGCAATTTTAAATCATGTTTGCAGCCTTAGTCACTCTCAGCAATGTGGACTTCGAAGTTATCCCCAAACTCCCAACAGTGCAATTTCATGTTATATTTTGTTAAAGCAAACTTCTAATTTGTCTTAGTTAAGTTCACCGACCTACCAGTAGGAGCCTTAGCCACTAATGAGAAGCAAGAAAGAATTAATCAAACCCTTGAAGGAGTCTCATAATAGAGTGTAAAGAAACAAATGAAGAAGGATGTTAACTATTTATAGGGAAAGTTGTTGAAGTTGAAACAACTCAATTCGTATCCGAGGAGCCATCATTTTGGTCATTTGCCATGTCAAATTGGAAGATTTACTAGAGATATTTGCTTATAATTTTAAATGACATGAAGATACTTGGGCAACTCAAGCGTCGAATTACAGGTTAATTCAATCAAATTGCTGATACTCCAAAGATTCATACAGTAAAAAATAATTATTAACTTCGACAAAAGATTAACTTCATAGAAAATTGGCATAAAATAATTAAGATCTAAACAATTTATATGAATAAAATCTTTTTATTATTGCAATAAAATATGGTAATTACATTAAAATTTTAAATGACATGCAGATACTTGGGCAACTCAATCAATGAATTATTTGTTAATTCAATCAGATTACTCATATTTCAAAGGTTCATCTAAAAAGTCAATTATTAATTTTGACAAAAGGTCGATTTCCTACAAAATTGTAATAAAATAATTAATATGTAAACAATTTATATGAATAAAAACCCTTTTATTATCGACACAAAAATAAAAGAAAAACTTTAGAAAGAAAGACACAAGTCTCATGAAAGAAATTTTCTTGTTTTGAGAGGACAATACAAAATCTGGCGTGTAGAAGGATGACTTAATGTAGTTGGAAAGTTCTCGAATTTATTGTATGACGATGGCACAACTTTTTTAAGCAAAACTTGGAGAATTGATTCATGCATGACTTATTGAAGCATAATTCTGAATCAAGTGTCGCAACAAAAACTCAAATAGACTTATTTAAGAAGATGCGTTAAAATTTCTCAATAAAATGACTTCATCCTTCAAATTTTTTACTTTTTTAGTGAATATCTCTCTTGACTTCAAATGATAGGACATTAGAAGACTCTATAAGGCATCAAAATTTCTTATAATCGCTAAGTTAAATCTTCTCAACTTATACAAAAAATTGAAGTTTAATAACTTTCTTAGAAATTTTTATCTTTTTATGCTTAAAGCTGAATTGAAGAGTGAGTACCGTTTCCTTCATATCTTCAAAATCATTATTAATTTTTCAATTCTACTCACTAGATTGACATCACTTACTCTACAACACAACTTTTGTTTACTGGACTAGACATCTCAAAGTTTGCAATCTTGTTTTGGGATTTAGTTTTTTCATTTGGTAATATATGGTTGATTTCCTCATTTCCTGTGACCTTATTTGCTAATGGAAGGTTCTTATCAACAATAAATACTTCTTCATATCTTTCTCTTGTAGAGGATCTTAGTTAGTCAGAAACTTGCCCATGAATAGAAACATTGCTTAGCACAATTTCTCAACTTGTATCACTAAGAAGTTTCTTTGAGAGCTCCATCCACGAAGACCCAAGCATAGAAGAATCTCAACCTGTATCCTTTTTTGGAATAGTTATTTGAAGAATATGACTTACTACAATTTGGACAATCATCGGAACGCGTACCCTGTCAACTCCATCCTTGTATGTGGTGGAGCAACCTTGACATGCTCCATGTTCTCTCAGATATAATGCTTTAGCATGCTCTATATTCTCTCGGATATTAATATCTCGCTTATTATATTTTCAAGAATTTCAAATTTTTATATAATTTATACTAGCTGGGAAATTGGGGAATAGCATGCTTTGATATAGTCACAACAATGTTCCGAGTCATTAAAACATGGCTCCTGGAATTATCCTAAAATTTTATGAAGCTTCTTGGAAATTTTAATACTTCTCTTTGATTTTCCTTTCCTTTTTTTTGGTCCTGGAGCGGTATTTTTCCTTTTATCGTGGCGATTTTTAAACCTATGTTTTTTTTTTTTTTTAGATTTCCTTTTTTTTGTGATTTAGAGAAAACTAGGGGCCTAATTCTGGACTTCTCAGCCAAGTTTAGTGCATGATGAAATTGGTCATCATTGGTTTGTTTGAGAGGGATGCGAACTATATGAGTTCGGATGAATTTTGTTATGAAGTTGCATTTGCAATTAAAAACATGCTTCTATGATGTGAATTGGCTTGACGGGAAGTTTCGTCGAACAATATCCACGCCTTTTTCTTGTCACTTTGAATTTGAAATTTTATCACTTGATTGATGAGCATTTCACTGAAATGTGTTGCACAAATTTTATGCAGCATCTTGCTCATTTTACTATGAGCCTATTCACACACTTTTTAATGCTTTTTGTTGCATGATTTATAATGAGCAATGTCACACACGTTTGCCTTTTGCTTACCAGAGAGGCTTTCTTAGGATCAGATTGTTGACCTTTTAGTCACAATAGGTCAATCCAAGACTTACTTCCAGGCTCTCTCTACCTGCTAAAATATCAAGAAAATCTAAGTTTGTTTGCATTGGCAGTTCAATATTATGTTTGCTTTAGACAATTGAGACTGCATATTGGTTGGATAAATTTTGTTTAACTTTATTTTTTTCTTCACTGTTTACATTACTTCTTGAGAATATTTTTCTATGTTTTTTCCTCCTGAGTTATTCCTTTTTAGCTATGCTTGCTATTGTGGTACAGTTTTTTGTGCTAATTAAAAATAAACTTTTTTTTTTTCAGCCACAAGAAAAAACGTTCAAAACAGGTTAAAAAATATATGCAGAGGGGCCTCTTGGACCCTGAGAAAGTTGATGCATTCTCTCTTTTTGTTGAAAGTACAAATATAACTTACTGCCTGTATAAGGATTCAGAAAGAGTACTGGGCAATACCTTTGGCATGTGCATTTTACAGGTTTAGTATTTTATGTTATTGATTAGCATGATTTTTGCTGTCAATGAATTTTCTGATGATATTTGTCCATTTAGGATTTTGAGGCTTTGACTCCAAATATTTTGGCAAGAACAATTGAAACAGTTGAGGGTGGAGGCCTCGTGATTTTGTTGCTTCATTCTTTACCCTCTCTAACCAGTCTCTACACTATGGTGATGGTATGATATTACATTCTTGGTTCAAAAAATGAATACGGTTCAAGCAATGGCTACATTTTGTTGATAATCGATTTAATTTTGAAATTTCTGGAATTTGATTTATGTCTTTAAGCACTAGCTTTTGATTTGTTTGATGGGGAGAATGCCTGTACTTTATAGATGCTGGGATAAGATACCACCTTTGGGATGAAAATCTATGTTATATTGAACCAAATTTTTTTCTTGCATGAAGGAAATGTAAATCCTCTGAAACATGATTTAAGGACGACTCTGAAAGTGCATGCATCTAAAGAGCATGAGCAATAGGTACACCATTGAAGTTTATAGTTTATTATTATTATTATCATTATTTTGATAGATGCTCCGAAAAATTGTTTTTCCACTAGTGCAAAAAAAAAAAAAAAAAAAAAAAAAAAAGGAAAAAAAAAAAAAAAAAAAAAAAAAAAAAACGAACTTGGAATTTGGAGTTATGAATTCATGTCAGTCTTGTGTTTCTCATTCTATGGTAAATCAGTAGGAAATTTTTTTAAAAATTCTTGTCTAAGCTTGTTTTATGGCTCAAACAGTGAAGTGAAAAACCATGGTGGGAATATTACATTGTTGCCATTTTAGGCAATGTGTGCTCTTCTGTCTTTTCACGTACTTTGCTATTGTTGTGTGAAGTTTCATAAACTAATACATTCCCAATTAGTTATGGATTTGTTCACCATGGTGTACCACCATATCTTTACTATTTTTGCTGTTGCTTGCAGTTATACTTTACCAAATCTTGATCATCATTGTCTTTATTGTTGAGAGTGAACTAAGGTTGGCAAAGCAAATTGGTTAAAGAAGTATAGGAACATTTTGCGCTTCCTTTTTGGTTAATTCCCAAAATTCTTAATTTTGAAAAAAGTGTAAAGTAGATAAACATATCTACAAAATAGTCCACTCATCAAAGCCTGAGGAAAATATCCATTACTAATGCTGTTTATGTGCATTCCAACACGGTGTTAATGTGCCATTACTCTTGATTGTAGGATCTGTCACTCAGTGGAACATCTCGTTGATTGAAGCTTTTTCCTTAAATAAAACGTTGAATGATTATTAGTATTCTAACTCATACTTTTATTGAGATTTTCTTCTTTTGGCCATTGTCAAGTGAATTTGCAACTTAGTGTGTCTATTGAGGAAATTATTTGCTAGGCATATTATTACATCATTCTCTGTGGTGCAGTCACACGAGGCACTAAGGTTGGTTTTCTAATTGATTTCAGGATGTCCATGAACGGTTTAGGACAGAATCTCATTCTCAGACTGTTCCCCGGTTTAATGAGCGTTTCTTATTATCTATTGCATCATGCAAGGTATCTCTTGTTGTGGATGATGAGCTTAACATCCTGCATATATCATCTCATATCAGATCAATATCGCCGGTGGAAGTTGCTGAGGTAAATTTGTCAAATTTTATGTTTTCTTATTTTGGGTATCATAGACTGAAGATGTATATATGAATTTTGATCATGAATTTGGTATTTTGTTCTTTCCTCCATGCTTTATTTCTGTTTTTAAGTAACCAATGATAACAACATTGGTCTTACGACATTTATTTTATTACTAATTATCTACACAAAAACAATGTAATTTCTACCTAACAATATGGATAGTTATTCTAAAATGACTTTTACCTCAAAACTTCCTGATGGGGACAGCAGAGCGTGGAAAGTCTATCAGAGACGTGGTCGTCGATTTACGGCCATGATTGAGTCGATGTACTTCTGAGTCGTGTTATTGTTTTCTTTATTATTATGTTATGTTGTATTTGCTTTATTAGTGTTTCCGTTTTTACTCCTTAAGGGATGTTGTATGTAAGCCTGAGGGCATCGTCGTCTTTTTATTTTCTTGAGTCTTTTGTACGAGGCTATATATAGCCCCTTATTCTCTTTTCATGTTAATGAATGATTGAATGATAAAAAAACTTTGCCCTTGCTCGAGTTCTTGAGAGATCTTGAGAGTGCTTGGAGAGAGATCCCTAGGAGAGGGAATTTGGATCACCCACCAACCTTGGAGATGGCCGGGTTCATGGTTCTTCTTTTTTATCTTGTTATCATCCTTTCTTCATCCCCTAGCCGCCGGCCAAGAGTTCTCCCGGACCCCCTAAGCCGCCAACCATCTAGCCCCACCATCACCAGCCGCCTGGGCTCCCCACCCCATCCCCCCTCTATGGCCAAACCCTCCCACCGCCGGCCACCCTTGGCTTCTCCCCCCTCCCTATGTGCCAGCACACCTTTCCTAAATTAGATCTCATGATTTTAGTAACTCTATTTATGATTAAATTCAAATCAATTTGAATTTGAAATAGTTACCTAATTTATGAAATCCTATTTTAGGAAACCTACTAATTCCCTTCCTATTTAAATTATAAATTAAGATGGGAAGAGATATTTCTTTCCAAACTTAATTCAATAATTTAAGTAAGCATTAAAGACCTCATTAAACTCCTCCCTCCCTCCCACTATAGCCGCCGGTCCCCCCTTGGTGATTTAAATTAGGAATTGTTTCCTAAACGCCCACCTCCTCTCTTGGAAACAATTCAAACTCCCTCATCCCTCCTTGGCTTAAATTCCCCCATGCCCATGCTTATTTAATTTCTTTCCAAAGTTCTTCTCTTCTATTTGGAATTAAATTAAAATCCCTAACCTCCTCTCATACCCGCCTCCCCTACCTTCCCTCTCTCCTCTTTAATTAATTCCACTCATAAGGATTAATTAGAGGATTGATTGACACCTTTTCCCTCCTCTTTAATTTCCCAAAACCTGAATCTAATTTCCCCTTGGCCGGCCACCCTCTCTTGCCTCTTCCTACTTGGATTCTTGAAGAAAATCCCTTTAGTTTAAAGGGAAGCAGCGAGGACAGCAAAAGGCCACCTCCTTCAACACTTCGAAGCAACGAGATCGATGCATGGCCGATCCTGATCTTGACTACGGCCTTGCCTACGACGAGCAAGGTTTCGTGCACATACTTCACTCGACTTTCTTAGACGTCAATCCGAATATTGACAACACCGTCGAGTAATATGTGGAGCATCTTGGTACCGTTCATTGGAGGATTACTTCCAAACCGTGACAAAGGTTTTCTAATCTTCCTACTCTCGTACTTTCCTAGTTTAACTCACTCTTGTGATTTGGTTGAATCATGAAGGTTTTGTTGCCTTTCTTTGCCAAGCCTAGTAAGCGTAGGAATTGAGTTAGCCTTATATGCTTCTAATCTTGTTGTTAGACTAGGGATTTTGTTGAAAGCTATTTACTTCGCATATTATTGATATTCTAACTTATTTTGATATTCCAAGTGTTTGGCAAGTGACTTAGGCTAAACGTAGGCACCCCTCTCTTGTTTTCTTTTGTCGTTTTGTTTGCTAATAGTTTTAATCTTAATTGTTCTAATCAAGAAATCGTACAAATTCTTATCGCATACATTTAAATCATTTTAGTCTTGCATCACTTCCTCTCCTCATACCACTTGAATCATAAATATCAATTGAACATAATTAAATTATGAACTTACAAATTTAAATTATATTAAAAATTTCTATAATACAATTTTTTTACGTCTTTTTCTTCTCTTTCTTAATTCCATCTTCTTTCCTTTCTTCTTCCTTTGCCTTCCTCCTACATATCTCCTTCCAACCTTCACTTGCGCATGACCTCAACCTCGTCGCCGCCCTCTAAGATCTCCAACACACAAGAAGGCTTGAACCCAAGAGTTCTCAAGGCAGAATGTGGCTTCAGTTGGCCTGGAAGTGATTGAATCACCAAACAATTAAAAATTACTTAATAACCCATATTAGTCACCAATGTATGCCCCAATTTTTAAATGCCTTGCTCCTATGAAAATTATTGATGACCAGTAATTTGAATTTAAGCTGTAGGAGTAAATCAAAACTAATTTCATAACTTTCACACCTTTGCAATTTAACATATACTTCTATATATCAATTTGCTACAATTGACAAGTAAAACACAACAGAATCATTTTTTTTAATTTTCATAAAAGTTGATAATTCAGGGTATAATTTAATTAAATTAAAGAAATTTTGAAATTTTGCCTGAACAATTTGGGTATTACAACCAAGGTCTCATATTTCTAGGAGAGAAAATTATATGGATAAAAATAATTTCCTTTTGTCTTTAGTTTAAAAAAGCTGAGATTGATAAAACATGAAAAATTTGTATGTGCAGTTGATGTTTTTTTTTTATTTATTATGAAAGGATTCTGAAGGATTATCTGAAAAGGAGCGGGAACTAAAGGATTTGAAGGAGCAGTTTCGTGATGAACTTCCTGTTGGTCCTTTGATTGGGAAATGTTGCACATTGGATCAGGTGTATTATTAAACTTTATTCTCTAATCTTGGTTGTTTTAGTGGCAAAATCTTGCATCGAGTCATGGACCGTCTACCTATTTTTCCATTTATTAAATTTATATACCCAAGCAGGCAAAAGGAGTCGTTACTTTCCTTGATGCCATCCTTGACAAGACACTTAGAAGCACTGTTGCTCTAATAGCTGCTCGCGGACGTGGCAAATCGGCTGCTTTGGGTCTTGCTGTAGCAGGGGCGGTTGTTACAGGGTAAAATTCTTAATGCTGTAATTTTATATTGATTTCATTAGTTTCAGATGCTTTAAACTCACTTAGCTGTGGAGTAGCATACTATTTGCAGGTATTCAAACATTTTTGTTACAGCACCTAGCCCTGAGAACCTTAGAACTCTTTTTGATTTTGTCTGCAAGGGTCTTAATTCAATGGAATACAAGGTTTGGATTTTGTTTGCTTTTTGTTATTTTCATTATGCTGGTCTTTGACAGGTGTTCGTTCAAATTTATTAAAATGATAGAGCTCGTTACTTTTTTTATGTTTATATCTATTGAATGAATTTTGATATATTTTGAATTTTATTTATATGCTTATATGGATAGTTTAAGATTTTAGGCTTTTGACATATAGTCCTTTTATGCACAATAACTTTGGCGTATTAAATTAATTCAAAGAATGATGAAAGAGATGTTTTTATAAGTATCTTTCAATGTTGTTTTCTTTTTTCAGAATGTAAAAGCTAAGATGACCCATCTCATTAAAACCAACAATTCAAGTTGCAAAAGTATTATCAAGAAAAAAGAAAGATAACCTACAATAGAAGAAAACCAAAAATTTAAGAAAGCTCTTTAGTAGTATTCGACCACTTTAATAGTTTCATGGTAAATTTCAAATAGGTAGTCCTCCTTTCTTTACCAAAATAAATCTAAAAGTCAATTAAGGATGTCAAACCAAAGAACTATGCTAACCTTATTTGGTGTTGTTTATGATCCTATAATCGCATTTATTCCCATTGATTCAAAAAGTTGCTAGTAAAAATACATTATAGATGGTCAACTCTTTATTAATGTACTTGTCTATCCATACTAGAAATGCTGAATGAATGCAACCATTATACATAAAAAATAAGAATCCCAAACAATCGATATATTCTCCTTCAAAATCTACTAATTAGTCAACTATTATAAAATAAACGAAAGTCTAAAACCTTTTTCCTAGCAATTGCTTCATTATTTTTAGACATTCAAAATTTTAAGTCCTGAATTTTTTTGAGCCCCGAAAAATTTGCACTATGAAAATGCAACCTTAGGGGGAATCTGCAAGCCTAGGTGAGGCCCAAAACTTCCTCTCCTATATTCTTAAAACAATTTCAGAATTGTCATGGGAAATTTCAGCCTTGATGGTGAAGAGCCTTGGCTAGAGAAATTTGCTGGAATACTTTGAACGGCAACTTTAACAACAAATCGTGGTCTTCCAAAGTGCTTGACAGCAACAAACTCCTGCGGGGATCTCTGGACAGCAGCTTTGGGCAGCAGGGACAGCAGTTTTGATCTTCCAAATAGCAAATGTGAGGCTAGCAATAGCTGGGTTTGCATGGGCAACGGCTGAAACTTCAAGCTACAGTTTTAGGAAGAAGCGGCTCAGATTTTGGAGTCTAAACCTGAGAGAAACTTCAGGTTTCTATGGTGAGAGGCACGTGGAATTGAGAGGAATTCAAGCCTTGAGGTAATGGCTTCCAACTCTTCTCACAAGGAGATCAAGCACTATGGAGGGATTTCTAAGGAAATCCCAATAGGGAGTGGCTGTCACGGGAGAGAGGAGAAATCCAAAAATTTATTTCCTAAATCATAATGAGAATATAGGAAATAATAAAGAAGTGGGGCTTGAGGAAAAAATCGGCTCAGGGAGGGATTATGAAATTTGGAAATATTTCCTAAAAGAAGTGGGAGCTTTAGGAAACAAATCCAAGGGGTTTTGATGAGGGGGGCTGAAATTGTGGGAAGAAAATTGGCAGATTTTGGAAGGATTTCCAACGTGAGGGTGGGACTTTAATATGGTGATTAATGCTTGCCCAAATTAATAAATTAAATTTGCGAAGAAAGATCTCATCCCAAATTAATTTAAAATTCAAAGCTATGACTACGACAGTTTCCAAAATTAGGATTTCTAATTTAGGCAATAATTTCAAATTCAAATAAATTTGAATTTGCCTTTAATTGCATTACCTAAATTATAAAAACTAAATTAAGAAATGTTTAATAGCAAAGGGGAGTTGGGAGGGAGGCCAAAGAAGGGGACCGGCGACATTAATGGGCAAGAGGGAATGTGGGGATGAGGTGTCATGCTTGCATAACTGTAAATTTAGGATTAGGAAAGTAATTAAACAAATCCAATTGAATTTGAAATTCAAAAGAATTGATTTAAGAACTTTCCAAAAATGTAACGACAAATTAGGAAAGATTTCAAATTCAAATTCGTTAGATTTGAATTTCGAAAATCTGTCCAAAGATTAAATTATCCAAATTAGACAAGGATTTCTATGGGGAGAAGTTGGTGGATGGTGTCCGGCGGCTAAAGATTGGACGGGCAGTATGAGGGCTCGGTATGGAGATTTGGCCGAGGGGCTGAGAGGGGAGGAGGAAAGAAAGATGACACTAGGGACAAAAGAGGGAACAAAAACAAAAAAAAGAAAGATAGAGATAACTAACGAACTCACAAAGAGATCGTAAGAACCGTGAACCTCGGACTCTTCCAAAGATTGACGGGTATTGCTTTTGCCCTCACCTTGGGCTTTCCATAGAACTCACACAGAGATCTAGGAGGGTTGAACTCACCAAGAGATCAAGAAAATATGAACTCACAAAGAGATCAAAAGTAGAAATTTTCATTCATCATAATCATCCTAATACAAGAGAATGAGCCTCTATATATAGGCCTCAAGAGAAATTAGAAGTCACATTTGCCCCTTGGGCTTACATAAGACAAGAGGGTAAAAAAGGAAAATTGCGAAACTAAATTAAAATACAGTTAATAAACGAAAATAAAACAAAGTGATCTCGGTCGTCGATCTTTAGCTCCTTCTCGGACAAACATGGACGGTTGGATGTCCGCATCAGAACTTCAATCAGTTCAATGCATGATTCCCTTGTTTTGTTGTGAAGGAGGTATTAGAAGCTAGATTTGCTAACCTTGTATGGTATTTAGTCCACATTTTCTTCAAACATGTTACTTTTTGGACATAATCTCCCCCCTTGCGCTCACATTTGCACCTCAAGTACTTTATCTTAACTAGCTCTTGGTTCCAATAGTCCAAAGTGGCATAGTCTTACTCTAATTCTCTTCTTGACGAAACTTGAAATATTAATTGGAAATAAAATCGATTAAGTTGAAAGATTGTGTATTATCAACTCAACTATCTTTTGGCACGCAGTTTGGATGTGATTGAGGATATTTGTAGGCAAATGCGTCTCTATATGTCAAGTTTCTCTATCAATGCTCGATATGAAGAAACCATAAATTTTCTTCTTTCTTTTTTGGTTTAAATCTCCCTTTTCATGTTTGCGCTATGACCACTTTGATTAAGTTTTCAGTCCTAAAGTAGTTGTTTCTTGTTCTTTTGCCAACTTCTTTAATGGATTTGCATTGGATCTACATGCGTAGAAGCAAAGGTTCTTATGCTGTAATCTGTTTGATATGAAATTTTTTTTACGAAGTCTTTTTATTAGGATGATGAAATAATTGGTGTTTCATCTTTACTTGAACAGAAGGGCCCAATTGTTCTTTACAACAAAGAATCTTATGGACTCGTGCAATTCTTTGGAGAATCTTTATTAATAATTTAAGCCACTTTTGGTTACTCCTACAAGTGATCTATCCTTGAGCACCACGTACTCAATATAGACGAGATAGGCGCTCTATATTCAAACTTACTCCTCGTTGTTCGAACAAGACAACTAACATGACTAATCAATATGAAAATATGAAAAGTAGGACAATGCAACTCCACAATCGATAAAAAATTTCGTTAACTCGAGGGTTAGTGGAAATTGTGAACTGTGTTAGACCGGTCCACTGGATCAGTCCAGAGGAATGGCTCGTGCGAAACAGGAGGAAGTTCCGCCTCTCATGTGTGCGTCAATCGGACCTTCCAGGTCCAATGGAGCTGTTTAGGAAGGATTTTTGAAGGAGTTAGGAGGGAAATTTGAATGTAGGGTATGTTTAGAGATTTCATTTTTGATTGTATGCATTTTTTTTTTTACTTTTTTTTTTAAATTTTCCCTTTTAAATAGTTTGTTTTCCTAGGGTTAAGGACATCTTTAATTTTGGCTTAAATTGAGATCTTTTAGGTCTTTTTGGGCTTTAGCAGCATCTAGAGATTTGAGAGAGATAAATCCTCCTCTTGAATTGAGGATCATTTGTATCTTGTTATTTTCTTCCGTTCTATTTTATTCTTGCAATTACTGTTTTCTCTCGTTTTCGTTGGAGTTTGGAGGGAAGTTTTCGCTCTTTTATCTAAGATTGATAGGGATTCTTAATAACTTCAAGTGTTTTCTATCAAATTGGTATCAGAGCAATTTCTTAGGCTGAAATAGAAGTCTTCCTCACTGATTTCTGCTGCGTTTCCCGCTCCAATCTTGCTGTTTTTGATGTTTGGAGGCCAGATTCGCGTCAAACTTGTTGCTCTTTACTATTGGTGCCCAAATCCAGATTCCCATGGCTGGAAGAAAGGTAGAAGTATTGGAAGAGGAGATCAGACAAATGAAATCTGAAATTTAGATCTCTAAATTCAAGTTTCAGATTTAAAAAGGATATTTCAGTCATCCATGATAAGTTCGATTCAAAATTTTCCATCATGGAGGAGATGTTGAAGAAAGTGCTCGAGGGCCAAATCAAAATATCGCTGTTAGAGGTGAGGGAAGGCGCAAACAACCAAGGAAGTGGGAAAAACCCTAAGCCGATCAGACAAATGGAAGATTAGGAGTTGGAAATTTTGGAGGGAACATAAAAAATGCCTCCCCTAGGTCTTCCTAGGGAGGAGTCATGTAAATGTTATGTGGAGAGGCGTAAGGGGGTTAGGCATGAGTGGAGGGATGTTGAATTTGAAAGAAGAGGGTCTGAATTTGAAAGACGAGGAATTGATTACAATCGAAGAGGCGTCGAATTTGAAAGGAGAGGGGTTGAATATGATCGAAGGGGTGCTGAATTTGAAGGTAGAATGTAGGCTTGTGATAAAAGATTTGGCGAGCGGAGGAGAGATGATTGACACAATTTGGGGGGAACCACCCCCTTGGGGAATGGGAAATTTTGGAGGTAACAAGATTGACAGAGGAGATTTGAGAGCGAGGAAACTGAAGATGTTTATTTTGAGGGAGATGATGCACATAGGTGGATCTACAGGGTGGAAATGTACTTTACTGTCAACATGTTGATTGAGGAGGAG